CGACCCATTCGAAAGGGACTGTTTGAAACACCAAGAGCAAACCGCTCGAATGGGGTTAAACAAAACGAAAATCAGACGGCAATTCGCTCGAAAAGGACTAGAGTATTTGACGGAGCAAGCCGATCGAAAAGGACTAACGAATTTGAGAATCAAGAAGCAAACCGCCCGGAAAAACCGCCCGAAAGGGGCTAGAGCTAGAGTGGTTGCGAAACAGGGAGCAAACCGCTCGAACATGACTAAAGTATTTGAGAAGCAGTCACCCAACCGAACGAAAGGGATTCAGTGATTGAAAGGCGGAAAGAGACCAGAAATTCTGATAATTGCGGAGCAGACCGCTCGAAAAAGGCCGGGGAATTTGTGAAATTGGGAGCAAGTCGCTCGAAAGGGACTAGAGTTTTCGAGACACTGGCAGCACACCTTTTCAAGGGACTAGAGTATTTGAGAAACAGGGCGCAGAGCGCTCGAAAAGGCCTAAAGTATTTGAGAAACAGGAATACGGTGTTAGAACAACAGTGAACAAACCGCGCAAAAGGTACCTAAAGTTTAAAAGGAACAGCACGCAAACCGCTCGCAAAAGACAAAGGTGAGTATATCGGAGAAACAGAGAGCAAACCGCTCGAAAGGGACGAGAGTGTTTGAGAAACAGGCTAGAGTGTTTGGGAAACAGGGAGCACGCCACTCGAAAAGCGCCCGCTCAACGCCCGCTCAGCCCCCCCTCAGCGCCCCCTCCGCGCCCCTCGCTCAGCGCTCAGCGCCCTCAGCCCCCGCTCAACGCTCAGCGCCCTCAGCGCCCTCGCAGCACCCGCTCAGCGCTCACAGCGCCCCCTCAGCGCTCAGCGCTCAGCGCCCTCAGCGCCCTCCACGCCCTGAACTCAGTGCTCAGCGCCCGCTCAGCGCTCAGCGCCCGCAGCGCCCTCCGCGCCCTCAGCGCCCTCCGCGCCCTCAGCGCCCTCCGCGCCCACTCAGCGCTCAGCGCCCTCAGCGCCCTCCGCCTCCGCGCCCTCAGCGCCCTCCGCACCCTCAACTCAGCGCTCAGCGCCCTCAGTGCCCTCAGCGCCCTCCGCGCCCTCAGCGCCCTCCGCGCCCTCAACTCAGCGCTCAGCTCAGCGCCCTCAGCGCCCTAGCTCAGCTCCCGCTCTCGCAGCCCACGCTCAGCGCTCTCCGCATCCTCCGCGCCCTCAACTCAGCGCCCAGCGCCCTCAGCGCCCGCTCGAGTCAGCGCTGAGTGCCCTCAACGCCCCCAGCGCCCCCTCCGAAATTTCAGCGTCTATTTGAGCCGTGCCCCCTCCGAAATTTCAGCGTCTATTTGACGCAGGCCTGTGGCTCTGTGTATAAGCGGCCGAAGGAAAGCGCTTGTCAAATAGCCCGCAAGTGTCCATCATACGGAGGGGTCTCCCCCTAAACCCTAAACCCCAAACCCTGAACCCTAAACCCTAGACCCTGTGCATTTTTGTCTCTGCGCCTGACAGGAGCTGGAGCTGGCGAAGCAGCAGCGGTTCACTGAGAAGGACGCTGCTCTCTCATCAAACTCTCATTAAGGGGCCTTTCTCCCTTCGGGAGGAGCCTCTTTGCCCCTTCGCTTCCAATCTTCTCCGAACGGCAGGAGACCTTTGTCAAGAACGCGGCGCAGCTGTGACTTGGTGTGAATCAGTGGCGGTTCTCGGCGGACTCCGGCCGAGCCTCAGCAGGATGGGCTGCGGCTTGTATTTTCAAGCCGGCAAGGCAGAAGAGCACCGACAACTTGAACCTTGCCTTGCAGACCGTGAAGAGTGCGGGACCCTGTCTGATTTTGGCTTCTTTGTGCGTGGGTCTGGAGTCGGAGTTTCTGCCAAGACCCCTGTGACTGCGTACCGAGCTAAGCTGGAGTTTGGGTCCGATTCAACGTAAACCCAAATCGCGAAGTCCAACTCTACTCCGACCGGCACCTTACCTTGTCCAACCGCGAATCTGTTTTTGCGGGCGCCTTGTCCTCTGTGCCGCCGGCCGAGGCATGTCTGAAGGTCTGGCCCTGAATGGAATCACTGGCTCACGGGTGGCAGGGCTTGGTGTTTCGTGCCCTGTAAGAGACCAGTTTCGTGTTCCAAACATGGCATCTGCTTGGAGAGTTGCCTTCACGCGACGTCGAATGTGTCAGGGGGCGTCTGTCTCGCGAGGATAATATGTTCGGATGATTCGGGCCGGTGCTGACTGGCATCGGAGAAACATGGGCATCAGCGCCTGAGAGTTTTCGAGGGGAGCAGCTCCCTTTCTGCAGAGGACGCACGACCGGTGAGAGTCCTGGGCTTGGCGTTTTTGACCGTCTGAGGTGCAGGTGCATCCGGCCTCTTGCAAAGCTCGGGAAAGAAGCCCTGCACTCGGCTGGCCTAAAGGGCTTTTTGGAAACTTTCTCCAGCAGAAGCTCTCTCGTTGGGGCACCATGGGTAAGAAGTCTCGGCTCACTGCACCTTCTGCCTTTGGCCCCGCCCTGATCAAGGGGGCGTCCCACATGATCCATGGATTCTCAGGAAAGCCCGTCTGCCCAGAGAGCGGCTGCTAGCAGCGACCTCGCAGCTCCAGCCGCGACCTCGGACCCGGCGCAGCTCGGAGCAGGGGTGTGCTTTTAAGAGCAGCGCAAAAGAGCACAAACAATCGCAAGGCTGAAACAAACATAAGGTCATGCGGTCATTGAGAGTCCAAACCACGTCGTGGAGAGGTCCTGTTTCGACGATACACATTGGATCCAGAGCACTTGCAAGTACGCAGAGCTTGCATGACCTTCGTTACGTCTCTGCAACCGAGCATCAACCGGTTGAAGCTCTCGGGAAGCTTGGAAAGCAGGAGCATCTGCAACTTTAGGACGGCGCTGAGTGCGGGTGCAGATGAGTTGCTGACTGCAAATCAGCTGGGGCCTCAGACAAAAGCGCTCGAGTGGTGCATGGGTGGGGTGGGTTATTGCATGCACGAAGTTACTTCCGTGTACAAAGTTCGTGCTTAATAGACGATCCACATAGAACAACTGACTATTGATGCAGCAGCGTGGGAATATTCGCTGTGTGCAGTTGACCTAGGATGTACACCTCAATGGAACATGCCAGAAACCCAACGCACTAAGCCGTGAAGGCAGTCCTGAAGCGAGAAGTCCCAAGCACACACAGCCTGCCTGCAGTTAACTTCAAAAGATAAACTCAGATCTTAGTCTGTACTTCTATTCCTCCAAGACCTCCATGGCAGGCAACACTTCCTGTCCCGCCTTCTGACCGTGGCCGGCCGATCACGAAAGGCGTCCTTGGCAATGTGGTATTGCAATTGCTACTTCGAGGATAAAAGGAAGCCTCGGCACAAAAGCACTCTTCTTGCGCAGCCATCGTGGAGGCGCAGACGCCGCCCGCTGCTCTGGGCTTTCTGCAGGCCGCGAGTGGACCAACATCAGCACTAAGTTCCCAGCAAGAGGACTGAGTACAGAAGTTGCGAAACGAAGATCACATTGTAGCAATGAGCCGAAAACTTCCCACAGCACCATCAGTGTTCATCACCACTCTTGCTGCTAGTATGGCTGCTGCTCCTACTACTCGTACTACTTCTACTCCTCCTCTCCCACTCCTACTACTTCTACCACCACCGCCACCACCACCACCACCGCCACCACCACCACCACCACTACCACCACCACCACTCCTACTACTACGACGACGACTACTACTACGACTACTGCGACTGCTACGACTACTACGACGACGACGACCACTACTACTGCTACTACTACTACTACTACTACTACTGCTACTGCTACTGCTACTGCTACTATTACTACCACGACGACGACTACTTCCACTTCTACCACCACCATTAGCAATATGATTCCTATATGACGATTACAACTACTGCGACTACAACTATCAGCACGACTACTCAACTACTATGACAACTACGACTAAGATTGCGACAACGACTACGACGACGACAGCGACGATGACGCCGACGACGCCGACGACTACTGCTACGACTGCGGCTGCAGCTACCGCTACCGCCAGCGCTACGGGTAGTGCTGCGCTGCTACTTCTACTACAGTACTTCTGCGCGGCTGTTGCTGCTGCTACTGCTGCTACTGCTGCTACTGCTGCTACTGCTGCTACTGCTACTGCTGCTGCTACGGCTACTGCTGCTACTATTACTCCGGCAGCTACAACAACTGCTGCTACTACCGTCTGAGCATGTGCTTCAGATGGCGAGTGATCGGAAAGCAGCGAATGATGGCTCCGTGGACGAGGCGCGACTTCTGATCCACGTCAATGTTGTGATACAAACCACCTGTATTTCTGTAAAATTCTAGAAAGTCCACCAGCACTTGCCAAGCCTGCGGCATACCATAATGTACCCTGAAAGCCGCAGGCCGACCTAAACCCCACTCTTCTGAGGCGTTCTCAGACCAGGTCTGGGATTTTGAAGTGTACTCGTCCCGTTTGAGCGTAGGTGGCAGTTCTGCTGTGCTTCTGCTGGCCATCTTTCCCGTTTCAACCGTCGCGATCCGTCAGGAGTTGGACGGCGATGAGGCTCCGGCCATTGGTGACCTGTCAGAGACTCTGAAACAGGCCAGGCCCCGGGCGCTGGGAGATCCCGAGCCAACGCCACAGTGCGTTCAGTGCAGGTGAAAGCCGAGACCGAGACGGAGCTCGCTGCCACGCAAGTGGCGGAAGAGAAGCGAACTGGACCGCAGCATGGGAGCTCCTCTAAGGTTTCGCACATGCACACTCGGGATCCGCTAGGTCTATCCTTTCGGACTGAGGGTTCAGAGGTGCCGCAAGCTTCCTTCGCGGGTACACGAACGCCTCCCGGAACTAAGATTCGTTTCTCCTTTTCGTGGTCCCTTTCTCGCTACACCATGCTCTCAGCTCTCTCAGCTCAAGCCTGAAGCTAAAGATGCTTGTCGAGGTCTCGAAAGAACTTCGCAGAGCTCACAAAGACTCTGGAAGAGGACGAAACTTCAGAGTTTCGCACCGGGGGCTGAAGGCTAAATTGCCAATTGGTTGGCCAAGCCTTGATCTCGTTGAAGGGTTCTGGGGTTGGGCTGCTTGGAGCGACCCGAGCCGACGGGAATACATCGAATCAGGAACCAAACTTTCAAGAGAAAACGCACGCCAATTTGTGCGTATGCTTTCGTCAAGCCGAAACTGTCCGGTTAGAGGGTACCTGGCGGGAAGTTTGTCCAGTTGAAAGCCATGTGGCCGGATACATGTCATACTTAGGAAAGCCATGATGCCTGCGGTTTCCTCTATGTGCGAGGGCCTTGCGTGAACAAGACGCCTCAGAAGCCTGCAATGAAAGCATGCGTCTGCGCGACGTTCGGCTATTTTCAGGGGGTCGCTGGCAAGATCTTGCCTGCCAGGGCCTCGCATTGTTGGCGTGGCCGTCAGACTCGAGAGTTCTGTCCGACATAGCAGCGGTGACCTTCTTCAGGAACACATTTTGGGGGGGCTTTCGTGAAGTTCGCCCTCACAGGCACCATGCGGTTCTTGGCTCCTTGAGGTGGTTTGACGGCGCCGTAAGGAGGACACTGCGAGGACTGGTCATCTCCTGCGCCAGTCTTGTGAGGCTGAATTCCTATATGCCGGGAATATCTTAAAAACTATTGAAATACAACAAAAATAGACTTCATGATAGAATGCAACATAAGCAAAACTAGAAGGACCAATGGCACAAGAATGGAACCGGTGCTCAATTCCACTTTCTATTTTCGTTCTATTTTATTTTCTTTTTTTCTCCTATTATTTCCATTCTTGGCAGGGCCCACTCTGCCTTATATTAATTTCCTGTATAAGGCAACTACTGTCCCGGCAGGAGATTTCAAAAAAAGAAGCACACTGGGAATAAGATAGAAATAGATGGGTGAAAAATAGAAAAAAGTAGGTGAAAAAGACAACCAAAATGAACACACTTAGAAAACATAGAACAGAAATAGAAAGTGGCATCAGGGCGACGTCCAAGTTTTGGTTCTATTTTCCTTCCTATTTTTATCCTAATTTTTCTGCTGCTTCAGCGCTTTCCAGGCTTCTGTAGGATTCAGCCTCATAACGCCAGTCGTCGTCTGCCGAATTGGTCGACATCTCTCTGTGTATGCCTCGTCGGCAAGCCCAGGAATTATTGGCCCTGGCTCGAATCCGAACCAGGTAGAAGCCACCCAGCACCTGTATCTCAACACGACGGCGGAGCAACGCGGGGTCCTTCCGTCTTGCTGGAGGGATCAACCCTGTCAACGACCTCCACGACCTGCCTTGGTCTTGTCGGCCTGGCCACAGGAACATGAGCTTCAAAAGCGGTGCCGGGCTTTCTTTAGCCCCTTCAGCCGCCGATGCCACGCCGTGGTCCTTTGGCCCAGTTTTGCGATGAGCTTGCGCTGCTCATCGACAGCATCCGTTTCCCCGCTGTGGTCTACCTCTTCGAAGCCCAGTTCTGCGTTAAGCTTTATCAACCCGCATGATGTTCTGCAAATCAAGGCACAGCACGCATGTGAGGGCCACGCCTGTGGCAGCACTCAAAGCGTCCAGGTGTGCTCTGGGCCAGAACTGCATCCCGTGCTTGTCGATGCGGTTCGACGGTGGGCACGTGATGCGAGTTCTAGAGCGATCAGACACATGAAACGGGGATGCCAAGCTGTTCAGATGCTGACGCTTCGTCACGATAACCTCAGGCTTTGTGGCCGCTTCTCGCGTCCAGGAGGTGGCGACTCGCCAGGCTGCAGTGGATGAGGTCAAGGCATCGATCTCCACCTCTGAGGAGGCAAGGACGGGTTGTAGCTGGGCCTTTTGTGTGCAGTGGTATTCATGACGATGCGATGCTGTCTGAAGTGCCTGCTTGTGTCGAAGGTTGTGCCTAGTGGGTTGAGGGGCAGGGGCTTATGACCAGCATGTGCTTTGTCGCATCGTCATAGTTGCGGGATTAGGGATTTTCACCTCACGTGTGTTAAGGTTGCTTCCCACCACTCACCACTCTTCAGACAGAGTAGCGCCGCTCCGCCGATGTGTTCTTTATCCTCGGTCACTATGCTCGCACAGTGTCCGATCGCATTTTGTGCGGGTTCTGGGGCAGAGCATTCACCTTGAACATCAGAGTGAATGATCACTGTCTCCATAAACACCAGAGCTCAATGGCGACAGGCTGCTGGCAAAGCAAAGAGCGACCTGCTCTCCGTGAACAGGCTGCCGATGTCGATTCCTTTTATTTCGCTTCTCGTGGCGTTCCCACGGAATAGTTGACATAGCTTCGATAGTGAGAATGTAGATGACAGAAATGCCTGAAGAAATGAATGACCCACTGGCAAAAGCAGAACTCAAGGTTTCCCTTCTAGGAGCTGGCAGGACAAGCAATTGCCCAATGCGAAGTCCATCCATTGCACACATACTTAAGTACATACATGCTTACATAAGCTCACACACATACATACATGCATACATACTCTTTCAAGTACGTAGGTACATACGTACATGCACACCCACGCATTTGTATCCGCATGCACACAGCGATGCAACAGCAAGTGCATGCGTACATACATGCATACATACATACATACATACATACATACATACGTACATACTTACAATGTCACAAGCAACCATAGACTGTACATGCATACATGCATAGGCAACGACGGACATACGAACATGCATGCATGCATGCATGCGTGCATACCCAGACGTGTACAGACAGACAGACACAGACAGACAGACACACACATACACACACACACACACACAAGCGGGCATACGCACATGTGTGCATACACATCTGCACGCATACTTATACTTACCTACTTACTTGTATATATATATATATATATAGATACTTGCGTACCCCTACCTACCTACTTACTCACTTCCTTACATCTTCCCTTACTTGCTCGCTCACTCACTCACTCACTCA